TATTTTAAATTGGTTTCCTGTGTTATCCTCTGTGCCTTTTTTTGTTGGAGACTTAGTGAGGAAGGGTGACTGAGCAAGGTACAGAACATGGGCTTCCTTGACTAGCCTGTGTAATGTCATCTGAATCTCGCATCCGTACCGTCTGTCAGAAGTATTGTCGTAGAGGGAAGGCTGCTAGACCAGGAGTCCAGAGACCAGATTCTATTCTTGGTGCTCTCATTACCTACGGAAAAGTTGGATGAGTTGCAACTTCTGTCAGCCCCTCTTCTTTCATTTGCAAAAGAGAGGCTGAACAAAGGCTAAGTTGTGTCTGATGTTCCTACCAGTTCCCATATTTTGCAGTTCTAGTTTGCAGGAACTGAGAGGTGGGAGCTGGGACAAGTACTATAAGTACTTAACTGCATTTACACATGTGCTGGTGTCCTTTTATAGAAACACACATCAGCCAACCAAATAGATAACCAAGGTTAGAGGGGAAAATCTACCTTATTAGCTGAAACCCTTGGTTTAGTCGAGTCAAAAACAAAATTCTAGATCCCATATTACTTAATGTTTTGTTAACCCATAGAATGTCATTTTTGTGTACTTTAACAAGAAAAACATACTTTAGTTGATTTTAAAGTGCTTTTTTTCTTTTATAAATTGTATGAACGTTTTAAGTGATTATGAAGATTAATCATTTGTTCACAAATATATGGACTTCAAATCATGAGTCTCTTGAGAATCTGTAAGAAAATGTTTTACATGCTTCAGATCTGTGCTACCCAATTATAACAATGCTAAATTTAGTCAGATTTGGGGTTGTCCTCATCTGCACAATGATGATAATCTCTAATTTAGACTTTCCAATATAAGCATTGTTATAAAATCGTCTGCAGTCTAAGATTGCTTAGAAAAGGCAAAAATAACCTTAATTCTTGCAAATCTGAACAACAATATGCAGCCTAAAAAGAAGAAAAGGCTCATTGCATAACAACTCAGTAGAACAGTGACTATCCCCACAGCCTCCTTCCATGGAGTTACCAGGCCCTAAAAATAACTACTTTATTCAAGTACACTTTTTTCAAAAACAGTAACCTCCAATAAAACTTTCATGAGCAATTTTGGTATAGGCCACACCAGGAACAGGGAAAATAGGTAAGATATTTAATAAATTAGAAATGTAGAGGTCACATTTATGCCACCCAAAGATTAGACCTTTGGGCTATATTAGATTTACTTAATCACCATTATCACTAATACAGAGATCTTCCTTGTAGCAAAAACTCGATCTAAAAGCTATAAGCTCCATTTCTGCAAAACCCAAGGAAGCCAATGAGCCCTGGTCCATTATCCAAATTACTCGTCTTGTCAAGAATGCTTTATGCATGTACACTCCTGCACATATACACACCCTATGTAGCCAGACTTTCCTGTCAATTTCTGAGACACCATCTCCCATTCTCTCATTTAAAATAAAATTACTTTGCTTTCCAGACTCTATCAATAGTTTATTTTAACCTTCTTTCTCACCCTGTATCTTATGCTACATCCCAGTCTTCATTAAATAATTTGGCCCCTTCTGTCTTCAAAGCATGAGCATTAACTTATTTGAAACCAAGGTACACAGTAAGAACTTGAAAGCTACACTTTTATATCTCAAGCAGTTACAGAGAGAATTTATGTTGTGAAAGATAAAATAGAAAGCTAGTGAAGCATTAAGTTAACATGATGAGGCATCCTAATGTTTCTGTTGGACAACATTTATTTGATAAGTCTTTTCTGTTTTTTTTTCTTCCCAGGCATATTATAATTATTGAACATAAGTGCTGTCTTTATATTCCTTTTAAGTTCCCATTTTTCTCTGTATCTGATATCATCATAGGTGCAGGCATATCAGATGTATTTCAAAACTGGATCCCAGTCAATGAATGGCTCTCCAATAATTGCTTTGAACATTTAGCAGCTTAACATTTGTTATTTTTTTGAAATGTACTTGTCTAGAGTACTTCTTCCATTTAAGAGTCTTTAAAATTCTTCTACAGGTTTTACGCACATGCTCATTAATATGACCCCTTGATTTGAATAAATATGAATCATAAACAAAAATAAACCAAACTTTAACTAACACCTCAAAATAATTCTGAAAAGGCCCTGGCTGGTTTGGCTCAGTTGGTTGAGTGTTATCTCATGCACCAAAAGGTTGCTGGTTCCATTCCCAGTTAGGGCACATGCCTGGGTTGCTGGCTCAGCCCCTGGTAGGGTGCATACAGGAAGCAGCCTACTGATGTTTTGGTCTCACTCCATTTCCTTTCCGCTCTCTCTAAAAATCAATAAAAATATTAAAAAACAACAACAACACTGAGAAGTGTTTTTATTGCCTAACTGCAAATGCTCCATAAGTAATATTAATAAGGACCATCATTCTTAGTCTTTCACAATCAAACAGATTCTTTGGAGGCTACTTGCATAGGGGAAAAGCCACTAGTTTAGGGTATTGCTCTAGGTTTATGCCGTAGAACCTCATTCAGTAGTCCACCGCCTATCTACTGCGCTTTGGTTATAGTGACAGGCACTGGGCCAATGGTGCAGACGCAATAGTGAGCAAAATGGAAACAGACTCTCAGAGAACTAGAGTCTGTGCAGGAGAATGACATTAACCAAATATTTGCACATTTGAATATATAATTACAAACTAAAAAAAAATGTTATCAAGAAAGAGAGCGAGGTTCCATGAAAAGTTGTTATAAGGAGTTTGACTCAGATTGGGGGTCAGGGAAAGTTTTCCTGAGAAAGTGATACTTAAGTAAAATTCTGAAGGATGACTAGATGCTAATTAGTCAAAAGAATTAGCGAGATGGGGTGAGGAAAAGTAAGCAGAAGACTTCAAAGCTGAAGGGGAGGCATGTGAAAAGGTCCTATGACAAGAGGCCTATTAGTTTCCTATTGGTGCTGTAACATATTACCACAAATTCGGTGGCTTAAAACTATGCAGATTTATTATTATACAGTTCTGGAGGTTGGAAGTCTGAAATGGATCATGGAACTAAACGAAAATGTTCCTTCTAAAGGCTTTGGGAAGAATCTGTTTCCTTGCCTTGTCCAGCTTCTATAGGTTGCCACATTCCTTGGCTTGTGGCCTCCCTCATCCATCTTCAAAGCCAGCATTTGCCAGTTCAGTCTTTTTCAGGAAGCTATCTCTTTGGTTCTCTCTCTTCTGCCTTTTTCCCCCCCACTTAGGACCCTTGGGTCCATCCAGATAATCCAGGATAATCTCCACATAGAGAAATCCTTAATCACATCTGCAAAGTCCCTTTTAGCATGTAAAATACCATGTTCACAGGTTCCAAGAATTAGAACTGTGGCCCTCTTTAAGGAGACTATCAGAAGGGAGATTGTGTTTCATTTAGTAACTGAAAGAAGGTCATGTGCGGAGTGCAGGAAGTGACGAGAAAAGTGGTATTGGCTGAGACTGGGGAGGTAGGAAAGACCACACTATTTATAACATCATAAACCATGTCAGGAGTCTTGATCTTTATTCTAAGAACAGTGGGAAGCTATAGAAGGGGTGACAGATTAGATTTGATACTTTAAAATATCCCTCTAGCTACTGGGTAAGAAAATGTATTTAAAAATAGCAGAATTTCAGGGAAAAGATGATGGTGGCAGCAACAACAGATATTCAGATGATTAAGATTATTATTCAAATTACTGAAGTCATTTCAGATCCTTCACTTTCTATTTGGGCGATTCTATGACTTTGGTTAAATACTTGTCTGGTAGTTCTATGGGGAAGATGAAACGTTACAATGCACAGCATGCTATTTATATAGGAACAGTACCAGGCAAGCATGATAAACAGTCTTCGTATTATTATATTGCTTCTATTATTATGATGCATAACTCTGTGCTAGTAAATTAGAAAACTTAGATAATATGAATGATTTTATAGAAAAATAAAAACTGTACCTAAATAAATTTCTATTTTTAAGGAGAAATATAAAACACAATTCAAGAAGTAGAAAACCTGAATAGATTAAGAATGCTCGTAAACACTGAGTGAGGGAAGAGAATTTGAAAATGAAGTAATGGAAGGGGCAGAATCCAAATCATGTTGAACTTTTGAGGCCATTCTAAGGATTTTGGCTTTTACTGTAAATAAAATGGGGGAACCTTCTGAGAGTTTTGAGAAGAGGAGTACCATGGTCTAACTTTGGTATTAAAACTGGCTGACATTTTGAAAATAGACAGATTGTAGGGGGTAAGCATGGAGGAAGAAATGATATTTTATTTCCTAGGCTTGGTAAAGTATCTCTCCTAAGTGTCTCCACAGCATCCTTACTATACTCTTAGCTTTTGTCACATTATATTATAATTGCCTGTATTTATTCATCTGCTCCTCTTAGTTGTAAGCTTCTTAGAGGAGAAATAAAGTTTATCTTCTCGCACTATATTTCTAGAAATTAGCATAGTACTTGACACACAATAACTGCTGAATATAAACTGGTTGAATTAAATTAGTAAAATCAACACATAGTATCTTCTGCTTACAGACATGTTACTAGTGTGACAGTCTACTGTGATTATCTACACCATTAGTACCACACATACATTTATTTTATTATGTTTATTTTTCTATGTAACCATTTGTTATTTTCCAGCATTAACTGGTTTGTGTGTCTCATGGTTCTGATTCAAGTAGAGGGGGAAGAGGAGGAAATGAATATTTATATGTATATAACCAAGGATACATACCAAGCATGACTTCCATATGGTAATTCACTTAAGCACTTAATTCTCCTCACAAACTTAGGAATAGAAGTATAATTAGCTCCATTTTACAAGAGGCAACCAAAGTTTAGAAATGCTAAGTAACATACCTAAGGTTGTCCAACAGGTAAGAGCCAGGGTTTAAATATATGTAAAACCCTTGTTCATCCATCTATATTATATAGATAGACGTAGATATATAAGCAAAATAAAATAAATGGATACTTTTAAAATATAAATATGTTACTTACCGGAAAGTATAGAAGCAAAGACCCAAAAAGGATCGTTTCCAACAGGATAAGGCCTGATGCCCTGATGCTCTAAAAAACAAAATGAAAATGTCATTGTTAAACTTATACTCCTCGGCAGGGAAGGCTTTATGCTATTGTGACAATGCCTCAACCAGTAGAACAGCTTCTCTGAGCGAAAATAAATAAAAACTTCTGTTTCAGATAGGGGAACTTCACTGAAACACACAAAGACTGACTACAAAGGCGATGGGAGACTTAATAACATTGCCAGGGGCTTCAGGGAATTTTATTCGCTAAAATTTGAATTATTGAACAGTCTAAGCAGCTGAGAAACTATCTAGAAACTCCTTTTAATCCAACCAATTCACAGGACATTAGAAACATCAGCTTCAAGTGCATATATCCTCAGCCATTTCACAAATACCTGCATGGTGGCTTCAGGGCGTGAAACAAACATATGCACGAGGTCGTGGCACCTCAGGGATAAAAAATCGTCCCCAAACTCCCTAACAGAGCTCCACCGCGTGAAAAACAGAAATCCCATTAAATAACAAAGGAGTCTCCCTTGTAAACATGCTTACATTATACTCAACTTAAAATTCAAAAGAATAAATTGATTTTCAAATAAATTTCTTGACTATTTAAAGTTTCTAAGATATTTTATTAGGTTCAAAATAGCATTACCTTCCCAAAACAAAATGCTTTGAGCTGTGGAATGAAGTAAAAAAAACAACCTTATCTTCTAATAATAAACTTTGCTTCCATGAGTTTAAATATCAATATAGGGTAAATATATAGATTAAGAATACAAACATAAAAACAGGTCATTCGAGAGTCCCTATGTTTTCTCCAAATGCAACATAAAATGTACACACCAATTACACCTGGTGCAAATGTGTTATCTTAACAGGAAAATAATTTGAAGTAGTAGCAATTAGCTTTTTAACAACAAAAAGCTGAAAAGCCAAACCACAAGAGTCCATTACTTAAAAAGGAATATCAGCTAACTGATATTTAGAGAAAGAAAATTCAAATTCCTCTTCCAAAACCCTGGTAGGACATCATTAGACAAATAGGACATACTTTATGTAATCCCTCAAAAGAACTCAAGGCTTTCATTAATTTATTTGGGAATGGAGAAACAAGTTCAGTTGGTGAAGGCTTGATTATTTCAGTGGCTTCTCACTATTGGTCATTATTTTAGCTAGCAGATGCTTTCACTGAAAAGATCATTTCTATCAGCAAGCCTTAAAATGGGTTTTGTGCTGGCAGGATGTCCCAGATGACAAATTATATTTATGCCTAATTATGAATAATCTATGGTTTATTTTTTAAATGTTCCAAGAAAATGACACTGAGAGTGAGAGTTCAAAATATTATACAAGATTGCTTGTGAAACAATCTATATTGCTGGGGGAAAAAGGGATATGAAAAGAAGCTGCAGAGCTTAATGGAAATAACAGACTTTGGAGTTAACTTCATCTGTTTGAATTATGAAACAACCACGTAGAGTTAGGCTCCCCTGAACTTCAGTGGTCCCACCTGTAAAATGGGTTTCCTAATCTTTATCTTATTAAACCTGACAGGTATAATAAAATATGAAGTATACAAAATGTCTAGCATCATGCCAGATACTTAATAGGTAGGTATGTATTACTCAAGGTAGAAAGCAGGATGATAAATTTGAAGACCACAGAGGTATAGATTAGTAGTAGTCAAACATTTTTTAATGCTGGGATCCAAAATGACCCTAGAGGAGCCAAAAGCCTTGGGGTAGGGAACTCAGCAGTACTTTCTTTAAGGTCAGGAGGTTCTTTGCTGTGTTACAATCATCAAAACCACATGACAACTGGTGCATGCTTTTATATATCCTCAAAGCAAGCAACCTATCTCCTTTTCATTTGGAAATGTAATCTTCCTAACACTTCATTGCCTTGTTCCTGGCTGGGCAGAAGAGCTCATAATTGCAAATTATAAATTGAAACTCCACTAAGTGGTTCCACCATCAAATGTAAGGCCAATTAAAAATGTGAACTTTACCTTTCAAAATATTCTTGGGCAGAGCTGGCTTCAAGGCCTCACAGAATGAGTAGGTGTCTAATCAGTACGATTTTAGGGATACAGAAAAGAACCTCACGCTTCCTGAGACACTGCCCCATTTCCTTGTTGGCACTGGACGTTCTTTTGACTAGAACAAAGCCTTTTCTTTTTCACTCGGTGCCAAGGATAAACATGTAAGTAATACTGTCTTCAGTTCGAAGCGAAGAACAGGGATCATGTTCTTACAATTAAAGCGATATGATCAGAAGGAGAGAGGAGCCCTAAGCATGCACGAGAGAGAGGAGGGATTGAAAACTGAGGGCGGATGTCGGAGACAATGAACAAAGTAATAGCGGCATCTCCTTCGCAGCTTTGCCTGAGGTAGAAACGGCATGGAACTCATTGGAACCAGAGTTGCTANTGTGGCATGGAACTCATTGGAACCAGAGTTGCTAACTGGGAAACTCTTGAGAAACTTTCTTGAAGATAATCAACAATATACAGTATTATACTATTTACATAAAACACATACACACGAATCAACACCATACACTTTCTCTAGATATATACAAATATATCAAATATGGNGGCATGGAACTCATTGGAACCAGAGTTGCTAACTGGGAAACTCCTGAGAAACTTTCTTGAAGATAATCCGCAATATACAGTATTATACTATTTACATAAAACACATACACACAAATCAACACCATACACTTTCTCTAGATATATACAAATATATCAAATATGGGTCTGCAAGATACATATCAAGCTGATAACCATGTGGTTTTTTTTCTCCTAAAAAAGAGAATAGATTTGGAAATATTTTGGACATATTTTAATTCCTTTTTTCGATGTTATCATACATTGCTGTGTAATATACATTTTAATAATTAAATAAATAAAATTAAAGAAAAATGATCTACAATGGGTCAACTGAATTAGAAAATTCTACATTAGGTATCATAATATGCAAGGAAGTCTGAGCAAAGCCCTTCCTAACTAATATCTATTTTACAAGTTTTTATTTGGTATCAACTGCATGTATAAAATTATCAAACAGTATATTTATGATAACTTAGAGATGAATAAAAAACTGAAGGAGTTTTCTTTCAGCCTAACTCTCTAGTTTAGAATCCGTGAAGTCTAATAAGTATAATTCCAGAATTTATAATAGGGGGGAACAGATCCCACCTCCATTACACATTCCCCATTTCTTAAATGGTGAAAACTAACTTATGAAGGTTTATAACAGTCAGATATCAAACCTGTGGGCCAAAGAAAAGGGTTAATCTTATTGCACCAATTTTATCAAATTATGTCAATGTCAATTTCTAAATTCTATAATCTTTGGATGCAAAGTATAGAAGTGTAAGATGAAACACAGTGGTCACAGGAAGATTTGGGACTTACCCACCCAGGGGAAGCTAAGTCACCAGAAGTAATAAAATGATAAAAATGCTCATCTGAATTTTTAAAAATAATTAAAATGGTTTGTCATTATTTCCTTGATTCTACATTGACTAACTGCTTCATTTATTTTTTTTTTTAAAGCTTTTAACCACTGGGGAAATTAATGTATATCTTGCTGAAACAGTGCAGCTATTTTGGATCACAGTGAGTTTCTTCAGCCTTGTAACGATTAAATTTCTATTACAAAAGGAACCTCTGAGCATGAAGATATTTTTACATTGCTGAGCCTCAGAATGAATGATGAAAACAGAAGAAAGCAACCGAGCAAGATTTTGAAAGGAATGAATTAGCATGGGTTTGGATGATTAAACAAAACGCTATAAATCTTTATTATTCACAGAGAGAATTAGCTTCAGTAGCAGGAGAACAGGCTCATGAGCTATACTTTTTCTTTGAACTCTACTATTTCTATAGAGAAATCCATGGACAGAAAAATTACAAGTAAAACCTGACAAAGACCTGATTTAAAAATTACACATTAATAAATTGGAAGCAGCCGGCTAGCGTGGCTCAGCGGTTGAGCATCGACCTAGGATCCAGGCGATCAGGGTTCGATTCCAGGTCAGGGCACATGCCCGGGTTGCGGGCTCGGTCCCCGGTGGGGGGTGTGCAGGAGGCAGCTGATCAGTGACTCTCTCATTGTTGATGTTTCTATCTCTCTCTCTCCCTCTCCCTTCCTCTCTCTGAAATAAATGAAGACATATTTTAAATAAATAAATAAATAAATAAATAAATAAATAAATAAATAAATAATAGGAAGCAAGATGTAAAAGGTGGTCCTGAAGAGAATCCTAACATTGTGAAGTAGGAGAATATTATTTTTTAATAATTTTATTTACAATTATATACATAGATGAGTACAGACTACATCCAGTTTGACAGACTACAGGCAATGAGTTTGTCTCAAGAAAATCTGCAGTGAAATATCAAAAATCCAATTGGATTTTGAAAAATTTGTCAAGGAACAATTTCCCAAAATACAGTTAGTTAAAAACAGTGTCAATTTTTCAGAAGAATTCTCAGCAACAAAAAAGGTCCAAAAAGCTGAGCAATACGGTCAGGACAGAGATTCCCAAAGTTAAACATAAATAATTCAGAGAATTAGAAATTCATGGAATAAAACACAGGGGCTTTATCTCCAGATGGTTCCACATCTCAGCATTGGATTCCACTTATAAGTGAGATCAGGTGATATTGGTCTTTCTTTGACTGGCTTATTTCACTCAGCACGACAGGATTAACCAAAGACCTCATATGCATACATGCATAACCCATGGACACAGACTATAGTGTGGGGAAGGCCTGGGGGGCGCAGGGGCTGGGAGGAGGAGGGTAAATGTGTGGGGGGGATTAGGGGACATCTATAACACTGTCAACAGTAAAATAAGTTTAAAAAAGAAAAATGGGGAAAAAAAGAAACATGTATGTATATACTGCCCAACAGACCGGCAACTAAGTCGGAAGGTCATAAAAAAAAAAATCTCAGCTTTGGTGATTATTCGCTGAGTGACCTTGGGCAAGCTGCTTAACCCTCTGAGCTTCAGGCTCCATCTGTA